AATAAAAAATATTAGTATTAATATACCTAACAAAAAACATTGAAATTCCATCCGGCCCAAAACTACTAAATATTGGGTTACTTATTGGGAAAGTGATCAAGCCTAATTAAGAATAATCATAAAAATATATATAAATATTTTATAATATTTATATTATTTGAATAATTTTGAATTAATTAATTAATTACCATAAGATATAGCATCTAACAGGTTCAACAAAAGTCCCAGAATAACGGCAGGTATGTAGGAGATGGGATTAAGAATTACCTGACGGAAAATATTTTCAGGGGTACATCTAAAACTTGGTCTTCGTCGTTCATAACGGTCATCACCAGTGCAAGGTAACCAATCATAAAATTTTTCAACAAAAGAACGATTTTCAATAGATAATGGATCATCAGAAGGTAACCAATTTCCGTAATTGTGAGGAAAAGTTTCAAGCAATGGTCTTGATTCATTTCTAGGATCATAGTACTCAGAATCTGGCGATTCATTAGATATAACGTTTATTGTTGGAGGAATTGAATCTTGGGCGCCATCAGCAGCAGTAGTTTTATGAGATGTTTCTTTAGGTGGAGAAGGAGTTTTTTGAAGGAGCAAAGATAAATTGCTTTGGCCAGCAGCGGATAATTCACCGGGAGGAGAATCCTTTCTTCTATCGACATCACCAAGAGCAATTGTTTGATTACGGATCTTTCCAGGAGAAGCAGAATATGACGGTTGACCTAATATTGTAAGCAATGGAATAATGAGAATAAAACAAATTAATTGGATTAATTAATCTAAATAGAATAATTTAGTCACATGAAATATCACGATGATTAATTCTGATGATCTTGTGATACGTAAGATTTAAATTACCCGATCAGATAAATAAATCACTTATCGTAATTTGCCAATTAATGCAAAGTTACTTGTGACTACAGAGAAATTTGTCGCGTGTGGTGTAGTAAAGGAAGAGATCACATAGACATTTCAAGAAAGAAAATACATACCATTATCTAAATTACTTTGAGAGCTGAAATGAGAACGAGGGCCAAAACCAACGTTTGGACTTTTTGTCATAGAAAAACCTAGTAACATATTATTTACAGAGCGACCCGAGTTGTAAGATTTGTTACGAGGAGAAGTACTCGCAGCTACAGGTAGCTCTTCTTCGTTCCGTTCCATATTATTTTGTGAAATAAAAAATATACAATAAAAAAAATAAAAAAAATAAAAATAAAAAATAAAAAAATAAAATAAAAAAGCAGACTTTAATGAGAAAAAGTGAGAATTTATAGGTATTATAAATCGCCGGATATATAGTTTTTTTTGAGTAAACAAGGCTCTGGAATAATGCAGGGACACAAAATACTCAGAATCACACAAAATAACCAAATAATTTATCATGGCAAAAGATAAAGCTCGGAGATCCATGCTAAACATATTAAGAAAGCGGGAAAGGAATAAATAGCTTTAGAAGGTTAATCGGCAAAGTCTGTGGTCGACTCACACAAGATGCTGATTGAATAGTTGATATCTATTTATCTATTGATATGCACACAAATCAAATCTCATTTATAGATCTTTTGTATCTTTTTTTGGATTATTATAAAAATCTGTTTAATATTTTTGTTACACTCCGCCAATATAAATAATCTTTACTTGTACATGTTTGATACAATTTGATGCATTGACTTTAAGACTTCCGACGATGAATACCAATTATTTTATTGATCAACATCAAGCATTTTTCTGCGGAAAAAAGAGAATAATCATTTGATTATCTGCGCACATATATATATTTTTTTTGTTTAAACTTGCATGTATTAAAAATAATCTAAGCTTCATTCCTGACTAAAATTATTCAATTAAAGACAAATAAGTTACTAAAATGAATTCTTTCATTTGGTTTAACTATTAAAGTATTAATGTTTAGATATACAATGCATTTAATTCTATAATTAATAATCACATTGTTTGCCCAATATTTAACGTTAAATCACCCCACTTTTTTAACACTTTTTTTTAATCTTTTTTTAATCTGATTTTGACTTTATATCGATATACCCGATATTATCGTTATATATCGATATAATATCTTGAACCCTTTCTGTCAAAATGATAATCCGTTGTGTTTGTCGTGGTATGTAAATCATTCCACAAACCTGTCTCATAACCAGGGCTTAAACCACTATATATTGTTTTCTGGCCATTCAAAGTAGGGTTCGTGTCATGGGTTCTTGGCATGCCATTAATTATAATAATATCATTAATTATAATAATATAGATATATATATATATACAGTAAGTATATATATACATATATATAAAGATATGATACTGAATATTATCGTTATGCATTTGGCATGCCAGATAACATGCCGAATTTTTTATCGTCCTATATAATTCAAAAAGCCACTCTTGGTGCATGATTTATCAATATACTATTGATTTTTTGATATATCAAAAACGACACGGTGAATGGCCGGCAAGCCAATATCGATATATTGGTTTAAGCCATGCTCATAATCTTGGTGCATGATTATCAATATACTATTGATTTTTGATACATCAAAAAAAGACACAGTGAATGGCCGGCAAACCAATATCGATATATTGGTTTAAGCCATACTCATAATCCAGTAATTAAAATAATATGTTAACGGGTTTACCCGTCAAAAAAATTATTTAGTATCGTTATGTACTGTATCTACAATTATTGCTTGTGATGATTAATTAGTTGGTATCCCAAACAATCGGAAGGAAAACGTAAAATACCGATACGTACTAATGTTTATAAGATTGATAATTTTATCATATAGAAATCCAATATTTGTTTTTTGAAGCGTGGCAACGGATCTATATTTCTACTCCAAATCGCGCAATAAATCGCGCAATATTCGTCAACTGTGTAAATCAAAGCTATATGTAGTACCATATGAAAATTATTAAAATTTTTTTTTCGAATTTAGTGATTACAATTTTACATGTTGCAAAAACTATTATTTCAGCATCGATTTTTAATATGAAACTGCTGTGGTAACTCAATGATGAAATAGGTTTTGCGACATGTATAATCACTATAGTGATTAAGACAATGAGCAGCGGTGCACAAAATTTCCAAGTGATGTAAAGTGAATTTTTTCCCGAAAATGTTTTTTTCTAACTGGAACTTAGAAGCCATAATCTGAAGTCATTATTATAAATGTCTGTTGAAAAATCAAGGCGGAAATTGTCTTAGTAGACGGAAATCTCCGGCATTTTACAATAGAATAGGTTTTGTGCTCTGGTGAGCTGATTCTTTATTATATATAATTTTTTTAATAGTACCAGGTAAGAATGAATTAGGTGTTTTTAGATGTCTAAAACGAATCGCTCTACTTTTGTCAAGTATTTTAGCATAAATCTGTTTTTAAACACGATTATAACAAAGTTAAGTTGAAATTTACAATTTTTAAAACTAGTTTATGTGAGTTATTCATATAACAGTAACTGTTTTTAAGTCCAGAGTAAAATTTTAGACGAATGTTGAATAATAATCCCAATATTACATATAAAAAAACTTTCAAATTGATATAATTTGTGTTTGGACTCGGTCAAAAATGAATTAAGTTTACATATAATTCAGATAATTTTATAAATACTTTGCAATTCTTTGCCGACTTTATTGATTTCGAAAAATTGTTTTTTAATCACATTTTTTTTTGCAATGGGTTGGACAAAGTCCATTACATCGTATAAGTTAGAGTTCACTAGGTGATGTGACGTTGAAGAACGAACAGATAAAGGCAGTGACTATAAATATAAAAACTAAACCGTATTAACCTAAACCATATTAGCTATATAATTTTTTTTATTCACACAACCTCGAAGACGTGATTACTTATTTATACTTATAGATTTATTTTTACGTTTCTTTGGATTACCATAATTATAATCCATAACTTGGACGATGCCGAAAATCATATCATTGAGTAGAAGCTTGTGGTATAGCTTCCGGTTGTGCATGAGCTGGTGTAGAATCAGATGGCATAAATTCGGGAGGTGTATATTCTGGCGCATAATTTTGTAATATAGATTCTAGCGGTGTAGATTAGAGATGCAGGTGAAACTTCCGTAACTTGCCGTAACTATCTCTATAATATCAGTTATGTAATAACTATAGTGAGTTACGGTCATAGAAGGACTTTCGTTTGATTGGCTGATGTAAATCAATTGCCCGGGTAACTTATTTATACACTTTAAATAAAGTACTTTTTGAGAACGTAACGTTTCACTAATAAAAAATCACCGCAAAGGCCATTTCTAACTTCGAAGTAACGCCAGAATTTACGCTAAAAATGCCTGTTGCAATAGTCGCGACTTTGCGTTTCATTAGATTTATTGCAACCTTTTTTTTATTGCAAAAGGATGCAAGATCTCAAGTCTATATTATTATTG